ACTACCATGCTCCTCCATCACCACCACGCCGTTGCGCTGCTGTTGGATGAAGTCTTCCTCAACCTCTCCCTCTCTCCTTGCTGGATCAAGGCGTGGGAGACGTCACCGGGCTGTACGTGTGTTGAACGCGGAGGTGCCGTCCGTTCGGCACTAGGATCTCCGGTGATTTGAATCACGACGACTACGACTCCTTCAACCCCGTTCTCTTGAACGCTTCTGCTTAGCGATCTACAAGGGTATGTAGATGCACTCTCCTCCCCCTCGTTGCTGGTTTCTCCATAGATAGATCTTGGTTATACGTAGGAAAATTTTGAGTTTCTGCTACGTTCCCCAACAGCATACCTATTGACTAAGACTCTTCCACGATCAAAACATGATCAACACCAAGACTCCATGGGTGTTGAAATCATTACTGTGTAATCTAGATTATTGACTCTAGTGCAAGTGGGAGACTAAAGGAAATATGCCCTAGAGGCAATGATAAAGTTGTTATTTATATTTTCGTATATCATGATGAATGTTTATTATTCATGCTAGAATTGTATTAACCAGAAACTTAGTACATGTGTGAATACATAGACAAAACATAGTGTCCCTAGTATGCCTCTACTAGACTAGCTCATTAATCAAAGATGGTTATGTTTCCTAACCATAGACATGTGTTGTCATTTGATGAACGTGATCACATCATTAGGAGAATGATGTGATGGACAAGACCCATCTGTTAGCTTAGCATCATGATTGTTATAGTTTCATTGCTACCGCTTTCTTCATGACTTATACATGTTCCTCGGACTATGAGATTATGCAACTCCCGAATACCGGAGGAACACCTTGTGTGCTATCAAACTTCACCAATGTTACTAGGTGATTATAAAGATGCTCTATAGGTGTCTCCAAAGGTGTTTGTTGGGTTGGCATAGATCGAGAATAGGATTTGTCACTCCATGTATTGGAGAGGTATCTTTGGGCCCTCTCGGTAATGCTCATCACTATAAGCCTTGCAAGCAATGTGACTAATGTGTTAGTTGCGGGATGAAGTATTACGGAATGAGTAAAGAGACTTGCCGGTAACAAGATTGAACTAGGTATGATGATACCGAAGATCGAATCTCGGGCAAGTAACATACTGATGACAAAGGGAACAACGTATGTTGTTATGCGGTTTAACCGATAAAGATCTTCATAGAATATGTAGGAGACAATATGATCATCCAGGTTCTGCTATTGGTTATTGATCGGAGATGTATCTCGATCATGTCTACATAGTTCTCGATGACGATTTGTATTATGAGTTATGTGTTTTTGATGACCGAAGTTTGTTCGGAGTCTTGGATGAGATCACAGACGTGACGAGGTGTCTCGAAATGGTCGAGACATAAAGATTGATATATTGGAAGGTTATGTTCGGACACCAGAAATGTTTCGGAATGATTCGGGCATATTTCAGAGTACCGGGAGGTTACCGGAACCCCCCGGGAAAGTAGTGGACCTTATTGGGCTTTAGTGGAAAGGAGAGGAGGGCCGCAGGGTGGCCGCGCCCCTCCCCCCCCCTGGCTGGTCCGAATTGGATTAGGAGGGGGGCGCTCCCGCTCTTTCCTTCTTCCTCTCCACCTCTTTCCCTCTCTCCCTCTCTTGGAAAAGGAAGGGGACTCCAACTAGGATTGGGAATCCTAGTTGGACTCCCCCTATAGGCGCGCCCCTCCAAGGCCGGTCTCCTCCTCCTCCCTTCTTTATATACGGGGGCAAGGGGGCACCCCAAGGCACACCAATTGTTCTCTTAGCCGTGTGCGGTGCCCCCCTCCACAGTTTAACACCTCGGTCATATCATCGTAGTGCTTAGGTGAAGCCCTGCGCCGGTAACATGATCAACACCGTCGCCACGTCGTCGTGCTGACGGAACTCTCCCTCGTCGTCAACTGGATCAAGAGCTCGAGGGACGTCATCGTGCTGAACGTGTGCTGAACAAGGATGTGTCGTACGTTCGGTACTTGGATCGGTTGGATCGTGAAGATGTTCGACTACATCAACCGTGTTATTAAAAGCTTCCGCTTTCATTCCACGAGGGTACGTGGACACACTCTCCTGTCTCGTTGCTATGCATCTCCTAGATAGATCTTGCGTGATCGTAGGAAAATTTTGAATTACTGCGTTCCCCAACAATGGTTGGCTCTGAGAACGATATCAACGTGCTTTAGCGTTCTCTATTGTTTGCAAGGTTTGCAGAAGGCCACTGCCTAGAGGTCAACTTTGAGATCAATGGACCATCACAACAAGGGATACTACCTACATGATGGCATTTATCCTCAATGGTCAACTCTTGTGAAGACAATATCCAACCCGTAAGGAGAGAAGAAACAGATATGTGCCCAGCACAAGAGAGTGCCAGAGTGCCAGGAAGGACGTGGAGCGTGCTTTTGGTGTGCTTCAATATCGATGCGGTATCGTTCGACACCCTGCACTGACATGGAGCACCTAGAAGCTTCGAGGGGTGATGACTGCTTCTGTGGTCATGCACAACATGATCGTGGGGGATGAGCGTGATGACAACATCTATGACCAAGGGTTTGGATATCTGGGTGAATATGTTGTGTCTGAGCACCAAGAACCGGCAAAAGTTTGAACATTTCATCTAATTCCATCATGAAATGCATGATTGACATACTCATATGCAGCTCCAAAATGACTTGGTTGAGCACATGTGGAATCATATTGGCAACCAGTAGATGTATCAGTTCATTTTCTTTTCATGTATTCAAGGCAATTTTGATTGGGTTGTAAAACTATTTTGATTGTGTTTTTATTCGGATGTGTAACTATTTGATTGTAAAACTATTTGCAACCTTAAATTTTTTTGGTTGTAAAAATTTACAATGCATATAGTTCAAAAAATGTATACATAGGGCCTCTAGCCGGCCGTGGCGGACCAGATGCATCCGTCCATTGGGCGCACGACCAGTGCAAACGTAGAAATGGCCGCACGCCGCCTCTTTGCCCGACCCAAACGGATAAAATTCGGACAAAACAGACGCCCCCTTGGGGTCTTGCGTATGAGTTGACCTGTGACGCCCCGTTTATAATCGTGCACTAGTCATACATGCATCACAAATAGTGACTCACGTCAATATCGCAGGATAACTCTACGACACAAAATAAACATAAATCTTTATATTACAAGCCAGGGTCACGAGGACTCAGAGTATATCAAATACAGACGTCAAATATTGATGCCATCATTAATTACATAAGTAATATGCAAATAATATCATACCTTATATCCATGTGCAATTAATAGTAGTCTAATATCAATGTGCATTGCATATACACATTTACTAGTTAATTACTTCCTCCTTTCCGATCTAAAGGGTTCATCTCAAAAGTTTCAGATTTCCATTATATTAGGCTCACTTTGAGTCCAATTCAGTTAGGCTGGTCACAGTGGGGAGGAATTTAGAAGTAACATCACACACTCCAATACAACTTTGCTTATATGTCACGTATTTAATGAAGAGAGAGGTGCTTGTGGTAACTACTCCCTCCGTCTAGGTGTGTAAGTCATCTTACGAAAACCAAATAATCCCAAAACACTTAGGCGCGGTGCATTAAATTCTATCTCGTTTCTTGTTTCTTGACATATCAACCAATAAGAGATGTGGGGTGTGCATGCTTTTAATGACTTGAGACTACCAAACACGACATGCAGTGGTTAGTTCATTGCATGGAATGCTATTAATTAGCAAATGAACATTAAGTTCTCTCGTTTTCTCCTCCTCCTTGGTCACGGTGCACAACCTAAGGTGACTTACTCACCTAGACGGAGGGAGTAGCTAAGTTACCGGAACATCACACACTCTAAGAAACAATGAGTCTATAACCTAATAAATACATCGTTGCATGACACTACATAGATGCTCCTACCCACTATGGAGATAGTAATATAGTCTAGGAAAGTGTGTAAGTTACTAGCTTATATTCTTGCCCATTGTGACCAGCCTTAAAGAGTTTTGAGTCCACGCCATATTTAATGAGAGTGGGGGAATTAGTGGTCATGCATGTATCTCTACATGCACCATGCAAGTTCAATAAGAGGAAGGGTGATGCACTTATTGCTTCCGGAGTTGAATAGGTGAGGAATATTTTATTGGGCAGTTTCGTATCCACAAAACTCATGTCATCCACTCACAATCTACATTGATTGAACCGGAAGAGAGGGAGTAAAAAGAAAATCAACACCTACACCATCAGATAGCTATATTTTGAAGAAAAAAATAGCATGTTGGATTTAACGAAGCTAATTTGTTGTTGTAAATGTCAATGCATTGTTTTTATAAAATTTGGTAAAAATTTGAAGAGGTTTGACTTAGGGCAAAGCTAGAACTTCAATTTATTTTTGGAATGCAGGCGGATAATCCAAGATGAGAGAGTTGAACCCAAGAGGACTGAGAACAAGGGCCGGACTGTCCTTGGGTTCCTCTGCTATCGATTCTATTTGTGTTTTAACCTAAACTTAAAGAGGTAAGGTTATCACTAGATCTATCCCTAAAACATTTTTCTTTGTGTAACAAAAAGGATTGGAAAAGAGCTTCTGAGAGATCTACTCCCTCCATCCCAAAATATAAGAACATTTTTAATACTATGCTAGTGTAAAAAACGTTCTTATATTTTGAGACAGAGGGAGTATTTCTGAAGTGATAAAATGGTACTCCCTCAGTCCCACAATACAAGACGTTTTTGCACCCTCCGTTCCACAATATAAGACGTTTTTGCAAGCTATGTTAGTTTGCAAAAACGTTTTACATTTTGAGGCGGAGGGAGTACCTGGCATATACCATATACATGATCCTATAGATAAAAATTTCTGGAACGTTTCTAGGATGTGTCTGCACACGCAAGCAATGTATTCCCCGGAGATAACAGCATCCAGATTAACAAAACAAGAAGTGGTGTCAAGATGGGGGAGAAATGTATTTCCATCGTCATGTAATCTTGCCATCTTACTGCTACCATTCACTTTGAGAAGGCCTACAGGAAGAAGGCCAGGTAAATAAGTTTACACTGAAAGTATCAGCAATAGATAAAAAGGTTGTTTATCAAAATCTCAATACATCATCAATTGATTACTAGATATACGAGTTACAAATAGAAGACCACAAATCTACAAGGGCATAACATAACCACTTTGTTTTTTGAGCTCAAGTGCTTTCCTCTTTCATTGATTAATCAGGCTACAGACATGCTGTAAATAGCACGTAAGAAAGGCAGCTACTAGTAACCATGAATCCCATGACAAAGTGGCCCTAGCATTATTTTTTTGAAATTGCATCTCATTTATATTAGATCAATAGAACACTGGATACAATCAGATATAGGGAAATTGAACCCATAGATACGAAAATTACCCTAAACAAAAGGCAGACTATGACTACAACTATATGCCTCCAAATTCTCGCCAAAGCTGCAACTGAACTTGTCGTCATTGCACCACGGTAGCTCACGCCAATAATGGACAACATCAAGAAATCCAACCACTGAAATACATACAAAGACCTGCAGAGAAACAAAGTGGCCCTAGCTAATGTTGCCTCCTTCGCACACAAGTCAGCAGCGAAATTGGCAGAGCCTATTACAAAGTTTATAGTGCAGAAACTAAATAAGCCTGATACGATAAGCACTTTATTCTGCATGCCAATCATGTGTCGATGGGAAACACAAATAATGTGTTGATGGGAAGCACCGAAAACTTGAGGCATGGTATCAGGTTACTCATCTTTGCTTTATCAGATACCTTGAACCTTCCAAACTTAGATAGCAAAAACATACTGCTAAGAAATAATGAGAATTCAAAATCATCACGAGTGACTCACTCCTGTGACGATTCACCGGACTTGTCCATCACGGGTTCCTTAGTGAAGCTCGAATTATCATCAGGAAGCACCGCCACAGTTGACAACCCATCGAACAACGGCTTTCCATCCACACCACCACCATTATTGCCATCCATCAAGAAGAAGGAATGCGGAACAAGGCTTTCTCTGAACCTATGTTTCTTAAGATTCAGAAACACGCTCCATTCATACCGTTTGGACAAACTGCCATCGGCACCAGAAATATACTGCAGATATTGCCACTGAATGCCTGTCTTTCCCTTTCGAGAAAGGAGGAGCAAATCTCCTTGGATGTCCGGCACTAGAGAGAAGGCCGCCACCTGCAATTTGATCCGGTGCTTCATTGACCAGGCCCAGCTGTGGTGATCCTGTAGCACCCAAAGATCAGCTGTGCTACCGCGGAAGGCATACAATCCAAGAGTGTCGTTCATCTCAAACAGCTCAAGAAGGGGGCCCTCGACGGGCGAAATCATATGCTGGAAAGACTCAGCCACGGTGTCGAACACCAGCATGTCGTTGACCTTGCCGCTGCCACCAGGCAAATGCACGGGGTGCCAGTAAAATCTGCCGTCTGCCAGCACGAGCGGGTGCCAAGAGAGCATCATCGGCAGCGCATGCACCTGATGCCCGGACGCCCACGGATCGAGAGGCTGCCCGACGCACCTGAGCTCGCTGGATCCGACGGTGTGCACGTGGTACACGGCACGGCCGTCCTCGGCTCTCTTCAAGCAGCACAGCACTCGGTACGACCCCGACGGGCGGTGAGGGTACAGCCCGGAGATGCAGGCGGCGTGAAGCAGCGGGAGAGGGGCGCGCTGGCGAGTCGCCGGGTTGCAGATGTGGAGGGCGCCGTAGGCGACGAGGATGAGGAGGCCGTCGCAGGAGGCGAGCACGTCGAGGTCCTCGGCGGTGGCCGTCCGCGCGACAGGGCGCCGCTCGCGGGTGCGGTGGTCCAGGGCGTCGATCCTTCTCTCATGGGTTTCTCCGGTGGTGACGAGAGGGAGCGAGGGCTGGCGGCGGTGGTGGGCGAGGAGGAATTTGGCGTCGGAGGTGAGGCGGCGGTGCCAGGAGCGGCAGACGGCGCGGCACCGGACGAGTGGCTTCGGCGGCAGGCGGATGAGAATCTCCCAGGTAACGATCTCCTCAGGGAGGTGAGGCCCGCCGACGGCCGCTTCTGCCATTGCTCCTCCTACTGGATCTTGGGGGAACTTGTTCTAGCGCCGGCAACACCGCACTTCAGGAAACGGAGCATAGCTCCTTGCCTCCTTCAGGATCTCAGGTGAAGGCGTCTTCTAGTATTACGTCAAGGTGCGTACGTAGGCGCTTCTTGGTGCGGCAGGTTCCTAAAAAAACTAGTAGGTTTTCTTTAGACAAAAAGAACATACCGGCATGCGGCACGGCCCGGCCCACCCTAATTGAGCCTGGCACGGCACGTCCCGTCATGGCACGATTATTAGGCGGGCTGGGCCGGCCCGTGTGCTGTGTCCTACAGCCTAGGCCCGGCCCAGGTGCTATACGGGCTGGCACCACGGCACGTCAAGCCTGCTAGGCTGTTTTTTGGGCCAGATTTGGCCTATTGGGCTATTCTTTATACCATACATATGTTAAAAACTCCAAATAAAAATAAAATAAATAACGCGCCGGGTTGTGTCGGCCCGCGTGCCCAACCTCCAGGCACGACCCGTCTAGCCCGTGTCGTGCCGTGCTAGGCGTGCTACCGGGCCGGCCAGCTTTGATTCCAATAGACCAAAGAGATTACAGGAACCCACATGCATGGAAACAATCAAACAACAAAAGTGTCAAAAAAAGAAACACTGAGAAGTGTCAAAAAAACGAATCACAGAGAAACGTGACAACTATCCTGGAAACCTTGCATGACACAACCTAGAGCAATGGAAAATAGAAACAAATCCCAAGGGCTCCTTGCACGCGCCAAAACCGTCGATTATCTCCAACCTCCAACTTTAGAGGAGAAAGGCCTGCATCGTTGAGTTGCAGGGAGGCACCACCGCCGTCAGAGCTTTGTGAACTGAAGACCAGGCCCATCGCACGCGGCACCACACATGACTTTGTGGCCTGTCGGTCGAGGATCGTCCCCATGCCATCCCGACCTCAGATCCGGAAATTCATCGATGCCATCGAGGAAGACCACCATATACGCCATTTACGAACCTCATCCTTTGTTTCAGCCAGGTCATCTTGTTTTGTACACTAACGCCGCCACCAAAGGTAGTAACCACAAGCCCTCCTGAACAAGGTCATCCTTCTCGTCAACGGCGTTGGAGGGAACGCTACTTCAACGAGGACGAAATAGGAGGACACAAACTTCCAGTAGAGATGTCGTCGTCATTGTCTCGCAAACGTCGATCGGGAAACTAATACCGCCGATATGAAGGATCGATAAGCAAACATGGCATACAGCCCTAAGACACTGTTGGAAATATGCCCTAGAGGCAATAATAAAAGTGTTATTATTATATTTCCTTGTTCATGATAATTGTCTTTTATTCATGCTATAACTGTATTATCCGGAAATCATAATACACGTGTGAATACATAGACCACAATATGTCCCTAGTGAGCCTCTAGTTGACTAGCTCGTTGTGATCAACAGATAGTCATGGTTTCCTGGCTATGGACATTGGATGTCGTTGATAACAGGATCACATCATTAGGAGAATGATGTGATGGACAAGACCCAATCCTGAGCATAGCACTAAGATCGTGTAGTTCCTTTGCTAGAGCTTTGCCAATGTCAAGTATCTCTTCCTTCGACCATGAGAGCGTGTAACTCCTGGATACCGTAGGAGTGCTTTGGGTGTATCAAACGTCACAACGTAACTGGGTGACTATAAAGGTGCACTACGGGTATCTCCGAAAGTATCTATTGTTTTATGCGGATCGAGACTGGGATTTGTCACTCCGTGTAAACGGAGAGGTATCTCTGGGCCCACTCGGTAGGACATCATCATATGCGCAATGTGACCAAGGAGTTGATCACGGGATGATGTGTTACGGAATGAGTAAAGAGACTTGCCGGTAACGAGATTGAACAAGGTATTGGATACCGACGATCGAATCTCGGGCAAGTAACATACCGATAGACAAAGGGAATTGAATACAGGATTGATTAAGTCCTTGACATCGTGGTTCATCCGATGAGATAATCGTGGAACATGTGGGAGCCATCATGGGTATCCAGATCCCGCTGTTGGTTATTGACCGGAGAACGTCTCGGTCATGTCTGCATGATTCCCGAACCCGTAGGGTCTACACACTTAAGGTTCGATGACGCTAGGGTTATAAAGGAAGCTTGTATGTGGTTACCGAATGTTGTTCGGAGTCCCGGATGAGATCCCGGACGTCACGAGGAGTTCCGGAATGGTCCGGAGGTAAAGATTTATATATGGGAAGTCCTATTTTGGCCACCGGAAAATGTTCGAGATTTTTTGGTATTGTACCGGGAAGGTTCTAGAAGGTTCCGGAGTGGGGCCCACCTGCATGGGGGGATCCACATGAACGTGGGTAGGTGGGGAAAGGCCCCACACCCCTGGTCAAGGCGCAACAAGATCCCCCCTTAGAAGGAATAAGATCATATCCCGAAGGGATAAGATCAAGATCCCTAAAAAAGGGGGATAACAATCGGTGGGGAAGGAAATGATGGGATTTCTTTCCTCCCACCTTGGCCAACGCCCCAATGGACTTGGAGGGCAAGAAACCAGCCCCTCCACCCCTATATATAGTGGGGAGACGCATGGGAGCTTCACACGAAGTTCTGGCACAGCCCTACCTCTCTTCCTACTCCTCCTCTCCCATGGTGCTTGGCGAAGCCCTGCTGGATTGCCACGCTCCTCCACCACCACCACGCCGTTGTGCTGCTGTTGGATGGAGTCTTCCTCAACCTCTCCCTCTCTCCTTGCTGGATCAAGGCGTGGGATACGTCACCGGGCTGTACGTGTGTTGAACGCGGAGGTGCCGTGCGTTCAGCACTTGATCATCGGTGATTTGAATCACGACGAGTACGACTTCATCAACCCCGTTCACTTGAACGCTTCCGCTTAGCGATCTACAAGGGTATGTAGATGCACTCTCCTTCTACTCGTAGCTGGTTTCTCCATAGATAGATCTTGGTGACACGTAGGAAAATTTTGAATTTCTGCTACGTTCCCCAACAGTGGCATCATGAGCTAGGTCTATTGCGTAGATTCTTTGCACGAGTAGAACACAAAGTAGTTGTGGGCGTTGATGTTGTTCAATATGCTTACCGTTACTAGTCCAATCTTGTTTCGACGGTATTGTGGGATGAAGCGGCCCGGACCGACCTTACACGTACTCTTACGTGAGACAGGTTCCACCGATTGACATGCACTTGGTGCATAAGGTGGCTAGCGGGTGCCAGTCTCTCCCACTTTAGTCGGAACGGATTCAATGAAAAGGGTCCTTATGAAGGGTAAATAGCAATTGGCATATCACGTTGTGGTTTTGCGTAGGTAAGAAACATTCTTGCTAGAAACCCATAGCAGCCACGTAAAACATGCAAACAACAATTAGAGGACGTCTAACTTGTTTTTGCAGGGTATGCTATGTGATGTGATATGGCCAAAAGGATGTGATGAATGATATATGTGATGTATGAGATTGATCATGTTCTTGTAATATGATTCACGACTTGCATGTCGATGAGTATGACAACCGGCAGGAGCCATAGGAGTTGTCTTTATTTATTGTATGACCTGCGTGTCATTGAAGAACGCCATGTAAACTACTTTACTTTATTGTTAAACGCGTTAGTCATAGAAGTAGAAGTAGTCGTTGGCGTGACAACTTCATGAAGACACGATGATGGAGATCATGATGATGGAGATCATGGTGTCATGCCGGTAACAAGATGATCATGGAGCCCCGAAGATGAAGATCAAAGGAGCTATATGATATTGGCCATATCATGTCACTACTCTATTTGATTGCATGTGATGTTTATCATGTTTATGCATCTTGTTTGCTTAGAACGACGGTAGTAAATAAGATGATCCCTTACAACAATTTCAAGAAGTGTTCTCCCCTAACTGTGCACCGTTGCTACAGTTTGTCGCTTCTAAGCACCACGTGATGATCGGGTGTGATGGATTCTTATGTTCACATACAACGGGTGTAAGACAGTTTTACACAGCGAAAACACTTAGGGTTAACTTGACGAGCCTAGCATGTACAGACATGGCCTCGGAACACGGAGACCGAAAGGTCAAGCATGAGTCGTATAGTAGATACGATCAACATGAAGATGTTCACCGATGATGACTAGTCCGTCTCACGTGATGATCGGACACGGCCTAGTTGACTCGGATCATGTAATCACTTAGATGACCAGAGGGATGTCTATCTGAGTGGGAGTTCATAAGATGAACTTAATTATCCTGAACATAGTCAAAAGACCTTTTGCAAATTATGTCGTAGCTCGCGCTTTAGTTCTACTGTTTTAGATATGTTCCTAGAGAAAATATAGTTGAAAGTTGATAGTAGCGATTATGCGGACAGTAGATAGCTTATGTCCTTAATGCACTGCTCAGTGTGTTGAACCTCGAACGTTGTCTGTGGATGTTGCGAACATCTGACATACACGTTTTGATAACTACGTGATAGTTCAGTTAAACGGTTTAGAATTGAGGCACCAAAGATGTTTTAAAAACATCGTGAAACATATGAGATGTTTTGAGGGCTGAAATTGGGATTTCAGGCTCGTGCCCATGTCAAGAGGTATAAGACCTCCGACGATTTTCTTAGCCTGCAAACTAAGGGAGAAAAGCTCAATCGTTGAGCTTGTGCTCATATTGTCTGAGTGCAACAATCACTTGAATCGAGTGGGAGTTGATCTTCCAGATGAGATAGTGATGTTTCCCCAAAGTCATTGCCACCAAGCTGCTAGAGCTTCGTGATGAACTATAACATATCAAGGATAGAGATGATGATCCTTGAGGTATTCGCGTTGTTTGACATCGCGAAAGTAGAAATCAAGAAGGAGCATCAATTGTTGATGGTTGGTGAAACCACTAGTTTCAAGAAGGGCAAGGGAACAAAGGGATACTTCATGAAACGGCAATTCAGCTGCCGCTCAAGTGAAGAAACCCAAGGTTGAACCAAAACCCGAGACTAAGTGCTTCTGTAATAAGGGGAACAACCACTG